TGCAGTATATCTATTTTTCTTAAAGAGTGGTACACTCCACTCTGCCAATTATCTGCATGTGTTGTATTATTTTGGGCTCAGATTTAATCTCCTCGAGTTTATTTGTGATCCTGATATTTTAACTTTGAAACCTATGCTTCCGATAATGTTTTCAACAATTAGCATAAATAGAAAGCTTTTCAGACAAAATTTTCAAGTAAATATTTTCACTCAAACAGGATGGAATAATGCAAACCCACGATGAGGAGACACGTCGGTTTTTCAAGCACTCGTCAGTTCAAGTGCTACTCTGTCCCCGAATGGCTGGAAAACGACATAGTTGGGTGAAGCAAAGGGTAATAATTTTCTTTATTATTTCATCCTCCTGGTTCATCTTTTCTATGCTCGAGTTTTGACACACTTGAGTACTTGTAAATACACACATCTGTCATATATGTGCCATGTAAACACATGCACTCCCCACACTTGAGTACTTGTCATCCTAGATGTTAGTTGATATTGCTGTTTGAATAGATTTCGGGCATGACACGTTGACTTCATTTTCGGGTATAGTTGTTGATCTGGGAATTTGGCTCTGACTCCTAATTATCAGGAAGTTGGAACAATTTATACTCACCATCAGAAGACAGTGATAGTGGATGCTGATGCTGGGAATAATAGAAGAAAAATTATAGCTTTTGTTGGTGGGCTTGATTTATGTGACGGACGATATGATACTCCACATCATCCTCTATTCAGGACACTAGAAACTATCCATAAGGATGATTATCACAATCCTACATATACGGTGAGTCTTTATAACCTTTCTTCCTCTTTGGGCAATCTTCAATAACTACTCAATACCATCGTGAGAACCACTTGACATCTCATTGATAACACAACAGAAAATTAAGGTGATTCCCGATAGAATCAAAATTTATGGAGTCATATTTTGTGCAAATTTGGTTAGAGATTTGAAGATGATCCATGAAACCATGGAAAGTTTTCAACTATAAAAAATTTTCCATGCTGCCTGGCTTCTATTAATCTTGAGGAGCTATTTTAATGTACTTCGGGTTACTGCAAAAGTAACCTTTTCTGCAGATATTCTTCTGTTATATATGAAAATTTAGATGACAATGTCAAAATAATGAAAGGGGAGAAAGCAACATTGTAGATTTGTTCTGTGTGCAATTATTCTGTGATTAATAAGGTGGATAATATTCTTCAAAAGCAATATACTGGATTCACATTAAAAATCATGTAGGCATTATACTAATCTCTTGATGTTACTGAATATTTGGAGAAGAAAGATTGCTTGAATTTATACATCGGAACTTAGAATTACTTTCAGAAATATGGTCATGCTTCTCAAATATTTTAGAATTAATAAACTGAAAATCTTTGGTAGAATTGAAAGTTTTTTTTTCTGTTTTTTTTTCCAATGTAAGAGAATTGCAGTTACATGGCAAGGAAGACCTAGAAGGTAGCTGTTTGTTCTGAAAAACGAGGCCATTTTCTTCTCTACTTATTGTCTATCTGTGTGATGCTTGAACAGGGTAATGTTGCTGGCTGTCCAAGAGAACCATGGCATGACTTGCACTGCAAAATTGATGGTCCGGCTGCTTATGATGTTCTTACCAACTTTGAGGAGCGCTGGTTAAAGGCTTCAAAGCCCCATGGAATCAAAAAGCTCAAAATGTCATATGATGATGCTTTGCTGAGGATAGAAAGAATTCCAGATATTTTAGGAGTTTCTGATGCTCCATCAATTAATGAGAATGATCCTGAGGCTTGGCATGTTCAGGTAATTTCTTCTCTTAGGCCTCGCTCGTGGCATCGCTCGTGGCATTACAATTCCCTATTATATGCTTTCCAATGGATTAACTTTTTTTTGGTTTCTAAATTATTATCGGGGTTAAGTTCTGTCTTATATTATCTTATATTGTTTTCTTTCTTTGTTTTCCAAATAAAGATTTTCCGCTCAATTGATTCAAGTTCTGTTCATGGCTTTCCTAAGGATCCAAAAGAAGCCACAAGCAAGGTAAGAGAAATTTAATGTTCCTCATCAGTATATTATTGTACATTCAGAAATTGATTGGCAACCTTTTTATGGCAGAATCTAGTATGTGGTAAAAACGTTCTCATTGACATGAGCATACATACAGCATATGTGAAGGCCATTCGTGCTGCCCAGCACTTCATTTATATAGAGAACCAGTATTTTATTGGGTCGTCATTCAATTGGAGTGCACATAAGGACTTAGGTAAGAAACTTCTATTTTAACATGAGGATATCAATTTCATAAACCATGATATGTTCATATCTAGCTTTATATACTTTTGCATCTTAGCATTTACTTATTCTGCCATTAATGCTGTACCACAAAACATTCTAGTTAACATGAGTGCATATGTTTCTGCTATTCAGCCGAGCTGATTTTTCGACTAGATTGGCTACTGTGTGTTGGATGTGTGCCCACTTCCATATGTTAGAATTGAATAAACAGAGAAAAGTTCGAAAAAAAATGAGGGGGGAAAAATTTAAAACTTGAATATGCTTCTAGGAGATGTGAGGGAAAAATTTTTGTTTCAACAGCTCTGCTGTATTAGAAGTCAATCATAAATTCATGTGTACTAATTTGACACTTAAATTTGGTTTTTGGTAAAACATCCTATGTCTATTCGACTATGAACTTTAACCATACAGTAGAAATTCATTACCATTACATATATACGTAATTTTTTTTGAAAAAAAAAGGAACATTAAAGGTATACGTAATTATGCACCTAAGCAGATCTTAATCACTGTCAAACTTCTTTGACAAAGAAAAAAGGTCAACTTCATAACTTATTTACCTTCTGAGTAAATAGCTACATGTAACTTTAGGTTTTGATGTTGCAAAGAGTAAGACTCGTGTTGGGAACACAGGTGATTAGCGAGAGCGTTTTATGTAACATTTTAAAATATAAATAGGAAAGGATTTGCCTACCAGTCACATTTATACTGTTGTGCATTACTGGAGGATATAGCTTGTAGCCTGCTTAGTTTTCAATCTCTACAAAAGAAGGAGCTGGGTACCGCGAATGATTGTTATTGATTATGTTGATATCATTAGATAGTTAACTAATTCCTGATATTCACATATTAACAGAGTACAAGGCTTATCCAATTCCTTTATGCATACAATGACCGGAGACAATGCAGCTAATTTTTACAGTTGTCTATTCCATCATTAATTGCCATCTTTGCTGTATGCTGGTTATAAGAATACAAATTCTGCAGGTGCTAATAATTTAATTCCAATGGAAATTGCTCTGAAGATAGCTGATAAAATCAGAGCTAATGAAAGATTTGCTGCATATATTGTTGTTCCAATGTGGCCA